GCCCGCCAGGCCCCTCCGGCCCGACGCCGCCGCGGGGGGGGAGTCGACGCAGTCGCTTACGCTTTCGCTCGGGAACGGGTGCAGGAAGGTCCCGGCGGCCGCCATCTCGCCGTCGTCCCGTGGGGTGCCCGGGGCGTTGCTTAGGCCGGCCACAGCGCCGGGGGAGCTCTGGGGGCGGCCGCGGTCAGCCAGGCATCCTGCTCTCTAGGCCCCTCCCAGTGACGCCACCGCGCGGCCGCACCCCGGCCTCAGAAATCCCGCGGCCCCACCCGGACGAGGCTTCCTCTGAGTCCCACCTCCAAGGCCGCGCCCCGCCCACCACAGAGGCACATCTCTCACCTTCGGCAACCCGTCCATGTCGCCCGAGCCTGTGGACAGACAGGCAGGTGAATACGCAGCTCAGATATGCTTGCCCCGGGCCCATCCGTAGTCGGGGGCCTCCAGGCCCCTCCCTTAGCTCCGCCCCCAGCCACTCGCTCTTCACCCATCTCGCGGGAGAGCCACTGGGGGCTCGGGCTGGGGGAACTGAGAAGAGGGTCGGCGATGGAGGACCTGAGCTAGGGGTCCCGGCAGGGGATCTGGGCATGAGACCCGGGATGGAGGTCACTAGGGACCCCCCTCCGCCGCAGCCCATGTTACTCAGTTGCCCTAGAGCAAACGGAGGGCCGAGGGCGGCCGCTAGGGGGCGCAGGCCGGGACGGGGTCCCGCACTGCCCACTCACCCAGGGATCCATTCACGTGGTGCGGCTCCATTGCGCTCATGGCTGCCATGGGGCCCTCAGGGCCAGGGCCGAGCGGGAACTATGGGCAGAAGGGCAGCACGGAGTCAGGCCGCGCCTGCGACTGCGGACCCCGCCCCTAGAGTCCCCCGAAGCCCGCCACTCACGTTAGCCCTGCTAGTGCTGGGCCCAATGGGGTTCATGATGGTGTACATGTTCTCACTGGAGTTAGAGTCTGGAGGAGACGGGGAACGGTGTGAGGGGGTGAGGGCGCGAGGAGCTTCCTTCCGGTTCTACCCCCCAACCAGACATACCTCCAGGGCTGGCCATGATGGGTGTTCCGGGGGGCCCACCTCCTCCAGGGGGTCCCTGCACACAAGACAGACGGGGAGGTGAGAAATGCTCCCCTATCTGCAACCCCACCACCCAGGCACAGGTCTCCCCACTCACCGTGTAGCTGCCGGGGGAGGACGAGGAGTAGGGGATCTGAGGAGAGGGAGTAGCTCTCAGAGGTGCGTCAGGACTGTGGGCCCGGGCCCCCCACCCAGACTCCTTCCCGCCTAGCCTGGGACTCACCGAATTGCCACTGGGGCTGGCCCATGGGCCCCGCACTCCTGGGCCCCTAGAAGAGACAGTGGGTGCACCCTGGGGCCAGGCCGGGGGTGCACAGCCCACCACCCATACTGACCCCCACTCTCCAAATGCACCCAGACGGGGGCTGACCAGTGGTCACCACAGTTGGTTCAAACCCACCATTCATGGCCATGGAGGCTCACTACAGCTCTGGGCCTGTTTCCCCACCTGACACATGTACAAAGCAATGTCTAGGACTTGGGCCCACCCTAGCACAGCCATTGCAAGGCTGGGCAGTGGCCCACGAATGCACACCCCATCCCCCATCCTGGGGGTCTTACATGTTCAGGGTAGGCAACCCAGGGCCAGCAAGGGAGTTGGGCAGGGGCCGAATGCCACCTCCGTAGCTCTGCCAAAGCAAAGGGGGCATGAGTAGGGAGACAGCAGAGAGGGGCGACAACCCCTCAACCTCTGTCCCCCACCTTGGCCAGCCTTACCTGGGGCCCGATGCCAGCCATGCCCCGGGGAGGCGTTACCCGCTGCATCGGGCCACCCATGCTGGGATGCCCTGGGGTGGGGAGCAGAGAGAAGGGGGCTCAGACTGGGACCACTGTCTGTGCACCGGGAGGGTGTCTGGTGCTTGGGTCCTTGATGGGTGGGGGTGGGGACAGCAGCTGGTGCATCGCTACTCACCCTGCACACGGGAGGAGGGGTCCATGGCGCCGGGAAGGAGGGGCTGTGAGCCGGGAAGCCCAACTGGAGGCTGCAGCGGGGTAGGGACGGCGCTGAATCTGGGGTGTCCCCACTGACCCAGCCTCAGGCCCCACCCCCCATCCCTCTCTCACCTGACTCGGCATCCGCAGGGTCGGCCGGGGGCCCCCTGGGAACCGCGGTGACATGAAGGGCTGGAAGAGGTGGGTGGGGGTCAGCACCTCCCTCCAACCACCCCCCAAGCTGCCCATTCCTGCTCATAGGGACCCCCAAGCCTGGCAGCCCCTCCTCCAGGGCCAGCTGGTGTGTGGGGGCACAGCGGGCAGGGGAGGGGGTGCATGTGCGAGAGGGGGCTGCAGGTCCTTACCTGGACGTGAGGCCCCATCATGGGGTTGTTGGGGTTGTGTGGGGGCGGCTGGGAGCTGGGGGGTCCCTAGGATGACAGAACCGGGAGGGTTGTGGGAACGTGGTTATCCCGAAGCCCCACTGTGTCCTGCGGCGTGCTAGGACAGCCAGGAAAGGGGAGACGGCACCATGGAGGTGGGGAGGGTGGGTGGCCCTGTACTCTGCCCCCTAGTGGATGGCCCTGGGGGGACCAGACTCTGTAGCCCCATGGCCACGGTGACCCCTCTGGCCTCCACCCCAAGCGCAACATGGCCCTGCTCTCCTGCCCAAACACCCAGATACCAAGCTGCCAGCCTCAGGGCTACCCATGTGTGACTCCTGCTTGTCGTGACCCACTAGGGGGTGGGGGTTGGGGGCCCCAGCCCTTGGTCGTACCTGGAAGAAGCCAGGTGCCATGGTGTCATTGGGGGCCAGGCTGCCCATCACGGGACTGGGGGCTGCTGCAGTGCTCTGCAGGGTAGGGGAGATGGCAAGGGGCAAGTCAGGCCATGTTCCCAGGGACACCCTCTCTCTGACAGAGGCCAACATCAGGACAGAGGTGGGTGGCTCTGCTGCTGGGTGGGCAAGGGATGAAGTCTGGGCCACACCCAGGGCCACATGACCCATGCACAGCATGGGGGGGGGGCGGGCAGGGAACAGCAAACCTTCCTAGGAGGGAAAAGCCCTGGTTTAGCAACCCTGGACCGGCTGTGCCTCCGACCACAGCCCAGGGCTCTGGGGCCCAGCCTCATGAAATTCCCAAGCTTGAGAAGTCCATGGGTCTAGAAGTACACCTGGCAGACACCAGGGCTGGCAGCCGGACTGCTGGGTCAAAGCCGCCTGAAGACCCTGGTCTAGTGATCGTTTATTCTTTAAATCTGAATCTATCTCCACTTCTTTGGACTCCAACTCACAGTAACCTCATGTGTGTCAGAGTAGAACTGTGCTCCATAGGGTTTTCAATGGCTGAGTTTTTGGAAGCAGACCGCCAGGCCTTTCTTCTGCGGCACCTCTGGGTGGATTTGACCCTTCAACCTTTTGGTTTGTAGCTGAGTGCTTAACTGTTTGCACCACCCAGAGACTGCCTACCCTCTTTAGTATGCACAAAGAAGTCCAAGCTGGCCTGCAGGATGAGCTCCTCAGGGGCAGGGGCATAGTCCCCAGCACCCTACCCTCCCTCCTCCTGGCTGGGAGAGCAGCTTGGCTGGGGCCCCTGGCTCTACCCAAAAAACAAAAAAACAAACCTGCTGCTCGCTGAGTCAATTCTGACTCATAGCGACCCTACAGGACTGAGCAGAACTGCCTTATAGGGTTTCCAAGGCTGGAATCTTTAGGGAAGCAGACTGCCACATCTTTCTTCCCAGGAACAGCTGCTGGATTCGAACCACCGACTTTTTGGTTAGCAGCTGAGCACTTGACCACTGCGCCACCAGGGCTCCTTAGCTCTACCCAAGACACCCCAAATAAACAGACCATATAGGTTAAAAAGAAATCAGTCACAGCTTCCAAGATTAACCTCTGCAGGGCTGCTGCAGGACACCTCGCCCAAGCCTCTCCTCAGTGGGCAAGAGAAGAAGACAGCCCGGAAGGAGGGGGGGTCCCCGGGTCTGGCGGCGGGGAGGGGATGGAAGATGGATGGGGGCGGACCACAGGCCACTCGCAGTCGGTTCCAGGGCCCAGGAGGCGAGTCCCACCTAGCCGCCCGAGGAGCGCATCTCAGGAGGGGCGGGGCGGTGCAGATTGATTCTGAGGGGCACGTCTCCAAGGGTCCTCTCTGCTGTCGTCCCCCACCAGACTGGGGTCTGGGGGCAGCTGGTCTATCAGTAGCGCTGAGAGGGCTGGAAGGTTTCAGCGCTGTGTCCACATTCACGGGGGCGGGGGTAGAGGTAGGGGGACGGGCAGACCTGCGGACGGCCCGTCTGCCACTCAGAGCAGGGCCCTCGCAGGTATCCCCCTCCTCCCCGAGTCTAGCCCCTTTCCGCCTCTCCCCCAAGGCTATTCTGTAAACGTTCCCACCTAGGAGGCCAGCTAAGCTTGGGGTGCGACAGGGGGCAGCCCTCACAGGTCCACGTGACTGACAGCGCTCTTCAGGGCCCAGCAGAAATCCTATGAAAGCCCACGGCGACCCTGAGGGAGGGGGCGCGGCCCTCAGCCCTCCACCCCTGCGCCACCTTCCTTTCACCCATGATCCTCCCTCACTGTCCCCCCCAGACACCCCGGCCTGGGGTAGTTGCGCCCTAAAGACACCCACTTCAGCGGCTGGGGCACGTTGGAGCCCCGGGTCGGCCCCCCACTGCATACCCCACAGGCGGGCGGGGCGAACAGCCCCTTTCAGGCCGCAACAGACACCGGGGCATCCTCCTGCTCGGGGCTGGCTCCCGGCTGGGGGATGGTGCACAGGCCCCCCCAATCCCCGCGGCACCCCGACTTTAGGCACTGCAGGGTTCATCCTGGCCCAGCCCGCCCCTACTCCCACTCCGCCAGGTGGTGCGGGCCAGACCCCCCACGTTAATCATCCTCAGAGACGCGCCTGGGCCCGGGGCCCGCGTTACCATGACGACGGGCAGGGCGCGCTCGCGTTTCCTGGAAACGCCAAGGTCGGCCCTGAGCCTGGGAGCGGCTGGGGACGGGAAGGCGGAGCGGCTGGGGACGGGAAGGCGGACCGGCGGGGGCCCCTCTCCCGGCGGCGAGGCCCGGCAGGATGCGCGCCCTGCTTCCGCCCGCGCCGGCGGGGACCCGGTCTTCTTGTCTCGGCGCCTTCTCCCCGACGCCCCGGCGCTGCCATGGCAACTGACGCGCACCCGCGGGAAGTGTGCTCGCTCCAATGCCATGCATAAAGCGGGGAACAGAGACCAGAAGACCCCCGAGACAGGCACAGAGGGGGCTGGGGCTCGACTGGGGCAAGGCAGAGTCTAGCCTACGCGGAGACACCCCCGGCACCCCGGGACCAGGACGGGGGGTTGGAGCACGCGGGCAGCGGGATCCGATGGGGACGAACAGCAGCGACGCCGGCGACAGCCCTCCAGCACACACAGTTGAGGAGGAGGCGTTTTCAAAGACATGAGGTGCCCCACCGCGGGTGCACCTGGCCTGCGCTTCCGGGCAGGGTTAGGGGCAGCTTCCAGCTGGGAAGGCGCCGGGTTTCCGCAAGGCCGTTGGGCGGCATGACCCCCGCAAACCCACACCCAAGGGGAGGCCTGAGGGAGTACAGCAGGGCCGGAGGCAGCACTCGCGGCGAGGCTCCAGCATGCTAAGGCACCGGCAGCGAGGAGGGCTGGGCTAGGCCAGAGAGCAAAGGATAAGGCAGGCTTCTATCGGCTATTGCCCCATGTTACTCCCAGCCTCCTCTCCAGGAGGGTTTGACCTCTGCTCGCTCTGGGCAAAACTGAGGCCACAGAGGTCGAATCACCGAGCAGTGTCAGTACGTGTCCCCAGCGCTTTCGGAGGTCTACCCTTCCAGGCCGGTGTCTAGCGTCAAGAGCGGGCTACTCAGCTCCAGGGCTGCTGGAGGCGGAGCTCGATCAACCCCGCCCGAGCTTCGCGAGTAGAGAGAAGGGGCGGGCCGAAAGGAGAGCGTGGAGAGTCCCATCAGGAGTGGCCAGGACCCCGGGTAACACCCTCGCGCCCGCCCACCAGGCACCGCCCATCCCGTCCCCGCGGCACTCACGTAGTCCTGGAAGGCCTTGGCCTCACTCGAGTGCTCGAAGGCCTCTCTCCGGTCCGGCGCAGCGCAGTACAGGTCCCAGAACACACTGCGAGGCGGGATGGGTCGCGGTTCCTCCAGGCCCGCGCCCTCGCGCCCCCGCGCCCCCGCGCCCTCTGTGCCCCGCCCGTCCCCTCTGTGCCCCGCCCCCGCACGCACCACCACCAGGAGTGCAGGAACCCCGGGGGCTCCCCCAGCGTGATGTTCTTCTCCCATCGGATCTGCAAGGAGAAAGATGGCAGGTGATGGGAGGCCCACACCTCCCCACTTGAGGCACTCCACCCACACAGAGCACCCAAGGAAGCGGGAGACTAGGGAGCGGAGGGGACCAGAGGAGAGAGGGAGAGAGCCACAGATGGACCAACAGACGCCTAGGCCTAGCTCTGGCCACCTACCCTGTCCTCAGCTCTCGGGTCCCTCAGAGGGGCATCCCCAACTCCACCACCCAGAGCTCCGATGGGAAGGGAGCTGGCAGGCAAGGGACCCCCTACCTCGGACAGAAAGGTCTGGGCCGACTTCTGGGCTCCCACGTGCAGCAGGTACTCGTAGACGTACAAGGCTAGCCTGGGGTGGGAGGCATGGGGGACTCAGACCCCAGCTGGCCCCACACCCAGCCCCTCATTGTGCCCGACCTCAACCTCATTTGCTGACGCTAACCACCCCACCCCCAACACCACACACACACGCTGGCCCATTCTGGCATCCCTGGCTCACCCGGGCCTGGGACTCCAATACCCCCTTCACAGGAGATGGCCTCCTCACCAGCATGTCAGCCAGCCAACTCCTATGCATCCATCAAGACCCTGCCTGCAGGGCCCCTCCTTTAGGCAGCCATCCAGGAATAATCCCTACTCCCAACCCCCACTTGCAGACTGAATTCTGTTCAACACCCCCTCACAGACAAGGTCCTAGCCCTGTCTTGCCTGTGTGGAGACCCCAGAGCTGCCTGCCAAGGGGGGACTCCTGAACATGCCTCTTTAGCAGCTTCCCACCCTAAATGAACTGGGAGTACCGCCTCAGGGGTTGGATGGCACCAGCACCGCCCTGCCTGGGCCCCAGGGGTAGGCCAGGCCCGTCCATCCTCAGCCTCCACTCCCCTGGCCTCCCTAATCCCAGGGCTTGCCCACTGTCCAATCAGGCCCATAGCTGGGGCATCTGGACCTAGCCCTGTAACCCCATGGCTGGGGATCCGCAAGGGCCAGCCTGAGGCTGGATGCTGAAGGCAGGAGGTGGCATCTGGGCCCTTCTGGCCTCCTCAGCTCAGTGCTGCCTCCCCCACCACTCTGCAGCCGGCCCTCCCACCTGCCAGGACCTCATCTGAAAATAACCTTCCTCTGACTCAGTCCAGCTCTCCTAGCCCAGCCTCACATCCCTGACACAGGTGAGCTAGGTGAGTTGTGACTGCCACCAAGGGGGGATGGAGCGTGGAACAGGATAAGAGCAGATCAGAGCGCTCATGGCTGCCCAGCTCTCAGGAGTGGCCCCCAGCCCAGGACCCCACAGATTTCGACTTGGCTGGCCACACCCCAACCCCCTGCTGGGACTCCTTCCTTCCCAAAGGCGTTCCACCTCGGGGCAGGTTGGGGAGCTGTGGACTGCCCTGGGGAGCCCAGCACTTTGGGGGTCAGAGCAGGCAGCATGAAAGGCCATGGGTGAAATGCCCAGAGACAGGGAGCAAGACAGAGCTAGGGGGTCCAGACTGGGAGCGCAGGAGAATGAGGGGGCACTAGGAAAAGGCAGAGGACCTTTGTGGTGCCCTCTCCACACTCCCTGCCCCTACACGGGGCTGACCACTCTCCAGGAGCTGGGGGCCCCCCAGGTGGGAGCTGGGCTCACAGGGGGCTCCATGCTGCCATCCCTTTTCATAGCCCCTGGACCCAACCCCTACCCCCGCCTGGGGCTCCGTCCCACCTCCCTGGCCGCTCCTCCTCCTGCAGGGCCCCTCTTGGCCCTCCTCTCCCTTGGTGGCCTCCCCCCCCCTTTGATGACACCTGCAGCAGCCACCACCCACAGGGGAACTCTGTCCCCATATCCTACCACCATGACTGATGGGACACAGATGCTGCCAGCTTGGCCCGAGGGTGATCTCTGGTCTGTGCCTGATCTGGTGGTTCTCACAGAGGTGTGCACACACCTGGCCACTCATCTACCCCAGGGCCTTTACAGTGGCTGTCCCCGTGTGTGTGTGTGTGGGTGGGGGGGGGGAGCTCCAATGTCCCCAGTGAGAGGCCTCCTTGCCACTTCTTATCCCCCCAACCTGTCATGGCCTGCAATGCCTGTTGCCCCCTGGGACTGGAAGTGGAGGGCAGGAGTGCTGTCTCTTGTTCCCTCTGCACTCAGAGTACAGCTGGGGCACCCTGGGCCCCAACCTCACAGAGAATGTAAGTGCCAATAAAGGGTTTTATCCTGAGGGCAATGGGAAGCCCAGGCCGGTTCTTGTTTTTGCAGATCTGCCCTTACACGCTGGTACTTTTATTTCTATATCAGGAGTTGCAGGTTCAGGGAAGAACTGTGGTTGTTTGCTTTTGGTGAAAAGTTTAGAAGCCTGGACAGGATGCTGCCAAGTTTGGAGACCTCTAGGGCCCTCCCCTCACCGAGGGCTTCCCACTTGGGGGCGCCAGGTCCATGGGCTTGCTGATCCAGGTCCCCAGCTCAGCATCAGGATGAGCCTGAGCACTGGCCTCCAGGCCTGCAGACCAGAGCCCCATTCTTTGCAGGAGGACAGGGGAATGAAGAAGGGAGAGGTGTAGAGACTGGAGAGCACAGCATGTGGTCCCCCGCACCCAGAAACCTGCACCTACGGTATGCATCACCTGGTGGACACTGGGGTGCCCAGACTGAATGCTCTGTGGGGGGCAGCCACCTAACGGTGTCAGCACCTCAGGGATTAAATTCATCTCAACCTCTATCATTATTACTGACAACCATTATAATGGCCTACCACCCATTTGTCAGTCTGTCCACTGTGGTGGCTTGCGTGTTGCTGTGATGCTGGAAGCTATGCCACAGGTATTTCAAATACCAGCAGTGTCACCCATGTGACAAGTTTCAGGAGGGCTTCTAGACTAAGAAAGACTAGGAGGAAAGGCCTGGCAACCTATTTTTGAAATCAGCCAATGAAATGAAAACCCTATGGATCACAACAGAACAGTGTCCCATACAGTGCTGGACGATGAACCTCCTAGGCTGGAAGGCACTCAAAATACACAGTGGCAGCAACAAGAGACTCGAGCACACCAGTAATTGTGAAGATGGCGCAGGACTGGGCATTCTATGGGGTTGCCATGAGTCAGAGCTGACTTGACGGCAGCTAAGAACATTATGATGGCGCTCTCTGCCCACTGCCCTCTGCCCCTGGACATGCACATGTGCTGGGGGCCTGGGAGACCCTTGACATCATCTTATCTCACCCATATAATCAGTTCACCAGGTCCCACTGCTGCCACCCTAGAGGGCCCCCACCCAGCACCTTTTCTCCCTCCCAGTTCAAGCCACGCCTGCCCTCACTGTCCTTTTCCCTCTAAGCAACCAGAGTGACCCCAAATCACACGTCCTGTCACTTCCTCCCTGGCCTGCAACCCTCTATGGCTCCTCCTTCCCTCTCCCAAAGTGGGCATCTTCTGAGGCTCCTCCCCGGCCCCGGGGGTCTGCTGACGCAGCCCGCCTTCAGGACTCAGTGAAGAGCTTCCTTCCTCAAGAACCACATACCCACATGGCCCCCAAAGGATGCCGTGGCTATACCTAGGACAGAGAACAGTGATCCCTTGCCCACTGGGTTTATGAATGAACTGCCTGGAGGCATGGGGCTTCTGGAAGTCAACACCTGGCAGAGAATATGAGATGCTCAGTGACAGACAGTAGCTGCCTTTCCTGGAATTGCTTCAAACACACACAAAGCAAATGTTTAACATTGTGGGCAAAAGAGAGAGACTCCCTCCTCCACCTTTCCTAAGAACAGACCCCCAGGGGCCGGAGGGGACAAGGAGGTGGCAAGGGAGCTTCAACTGTACCCATCAACTTTTGTTATTATTACAAACAGCCTGAGGCCAATGGCCAGCTAGAGGCGCTGGTCATCTCTGGGCAGTGGCGCCCTTGGGGCCTCCCTGTAGGTTGGATATGTTCACAGTTAACAGGAGACGCCCAGATGGGTGGCCTGGGTACCCCAGCCACCTCCTCCCAGCCTCCTCTCACTGCCCCACCCTCACCTCACCACACTCCCTGGCCTTATGTCACCACCCATCTGCTGTGAGCCCTGGAGGGTAGGGCCCCGGCCAGCACTTGGTTGGGCCCTTTCTGGGCCAGGCCGAGATGGGGAGAACTCAGTAAGCCTCTGTGGGGTGTCAAAGGGGACTGAGGGCCTGGGGCCAGAGAGGGAGGGAGGGGGAAGCCTGTTGGCCTGCTGTTGTTGTTAGTTGTAGTCAGTTGACTCCGACTCACGGTGACCCCATGTGTGCAGAGCAGAACTAACTGCTCCATAGGGTTTTCAATGATGTGACCTTTCAGAAGCAGATCACCAGGCTTTTCTTCTGAGGCACCTCTGGGTGGGTTCAAACCACCAACCTTTCAGCTAGTAGTTGAGCACAAACCACTTGCTCCATCCAGGAACTCAGAAGAGTAAGGCAGGCCCCACTTTAGAAGGCGGGAGGGTGACAGCAGGGAGAGAAACACACCTTGAAGAGTTGGGGACTTGAGCCATGGAACCCCTTTCACCCCACTTCACCGAGAAGGAAACCAAGGCCTAGACAGGAAGTGGCTCGGCCAGTGGCTGACACTTCCTGAGGGCTGACTGTGCCTGGCCTCCATCCTCGGCACATCACCGAGTCCTTGGAGGCAGGGGCCCATGTCTCAGATGAGGAAACTGAGGCTCAAAGCAAAACCCCCTGGCCCCTCTCTAGCAAGGGTGTCCCACACCCAGGGTCACTTCTCTAAGTTCCCAGTGTCCTTGTCAGTGAAATGGGGGGACTCGACCATCTGGTTTTCAAATTCCCTTCAGCAGCACAGCCCCTCTCTCCAACCCAGCGCTTACACAGGCCCGTCTGCGTGAACGGGGGGAAGGGTGCAGGGTGGCTCAGCAGAAGGGTTGCTCGGCCTCCCCACCCAGAGCTGAGGCAATGCCATGGATTTGGCATCCTCCGGGCACCTCTGTGGGGGCTGGGAGTGGGAGAAGGGTGCAAGGAACATGGACCCCCCCATCTTCCAGCCTCCACCAAGAACTGAATTAACATCTCTCCTGGGATGTCCAGAGGGGTCAAAACCCAACTCCAAACCCAACACCTCAGCTCAAGCCTATTATCCCCTCTGCTTCTCTTATCTCTATGGCAACTACCTCAGTCCAAGCTGCCATCAACTCCTTCCCAGACACCTTTGCTCACCTGTCCCCAGGTTCCCCAGCTCCCTACCAGCCCTCCTGGGCTGACCCTTTCCCCCCAGCTCCTTTCCCAGCCCTATTCCAGGGCCTTTGCACGTGCTGTGCCTCTGCCACCAGTCTCTGCACAGTTGACTTCTCACATTTCACTATAACCCATGTCCCCACTTTGTTTTCCTCACATCTCCAGATCTAGAAATGCCTCATTGGTTGCATGCGTACCTCGATGTCTGCCTCCCTCCTTGGATTTGGAGGTCTCCTCAGGGCTGGGGACTGCTTCCTGACCACCACACCCCAAACAAGTGACTGGTTCCCACTGGGTAAGTGGGTGGCTGCAGATCCAGCAACCGGAGCTTGAGGCTAGGCAGGGACAAAGGGGATGAGGCTTCGGACGCCAAGATCCCCAGGGGCGGGGTGGCCATGACAGACACGCCCTTCTTCCAACCTGGGCAGCCACCAGGTGCCTGTCTCAAGACTCTTGGAGTTTAAAGTGCTTGAGAATGAAGCAGCATCCCGGAACTGTGCAGACAGGAGAGGGAGCCTGGCAGGGCAGTGACCCACCCAGCATCTTCTGGCCAGAAGACCCATTTCCAAAATGACCCCTGGGCTGGCCAGAGGAAACACACATTCTTCCGGGTCAGTTTGGCCAAGACAAGGCAGGTCTAGAGGACAGAGGTCAGTGGCATCCCAGGCTGCTCTTCGCCACCCATGCCCTGGAGGACACACTCCCGGACACCCTGGGAGATCCTCAAGGTGGGTCACCATGGTCCCCCTTCCTAGACACACAGGGAAATCCTCAAGGCGGCTCACCATGGTCCCCCTTCCTGAACATACAGGGAGACCCTCAAAATGGGTCACCATGGTCCCTATCCAGATGGGTGGCTATCCCCCACACCAGGCCCATCCAACTTCCAGAATCCTTTACTCCTGAAGGTCCTTCACGATACGTTAATAGTAATGCTGCGAACAAAGGGGGACCTTGCTGTGGAATGGCCACAGTCTGAACCACTTTCCAAGTGTCAATTCGTCACATACTCCCCAAACCCTAAAAGAGGCACTGTGATCATGTCTGCAGCTTTCAAGAAAGCAGAGTAAGCCCAGCAGAGGGGTGTCCCCTCATCCAAAGGCACAGAGCTGGCGCAAAGAGCCCAGCCCCGGGGCGCACAGGCTGCCTCCACTCCCTGTCCTCCAACCAACTGCAAAGGGCTGAGGACCTGCCCCTACAGCCCGAGTACCTGGTGCCCAGGGCCCCCGCTCACCGGCCTCGGTATCGGGGAAGGGGCTTGTCCCACCCCCAGCCCCTGGATAAGCGGCCTCCTAGCTCTCCGGGCCCCAGGAGGCCCGCCCGGCCCGCCTCGCAGCTGCCCAGGTCGGGTAGGGCCGGACAGGTGGCCGGCGGTGTGGGACCGGCGTCCCCTGGGCCTCCCCGGAGCGGAGGGCTCCCAAGGCGGCCAGTCCCACCCGTCCGGAAAACTTCACCCCAGGGTACAAGAGGCTGCGCCCACTCGGTCCCGCGCGAACGCGCGCACGCCCGGCAAGGCTTGCCCTAAGCGGAGGTCTCGCGCGCCCCCGCAGATCTCGCGACCCCTCGCGCCCCCTCAACTCGCGACCCGTCAGGTCTCTCCCGCCCCTTTAAATCTCGCACCCCTCGGGGTCTCGAGCCCTCACAAGTTTCGCGACCCCTAAAGTCTCTCAGGTCTTGCACGCCCCTTCAACTATCTTTAACACCTCGGGTCCTTTCAAGCTCATGACTTTCGTGCCCCCTCAGATCTAGCGCTTCCTTGTCTCTTACGACCCCCCCAATCTCACGCCCTTCGGATCCCGCGTGACCCCTCAACTCTTGCAACCCCTCGGGTCTCTGGCGCCCCCGCAAGTCTCGCGACTCCTCGCCCCTCGGGCCTCGCGCGCGCCCGCAAGTCTCGCGACCCCGCGCGCCCCGCGCGCCCGCCCGCCGTTAGCGTTGGGACCCACGGAAGTCCCGCGCCCCGCACCGCCTGGTGCCACTCACTTCTCGCGGGCTTGGCTGTCGGAGGGCACGGCCGAGCCCTTGCCCCCCTTGGCGTACATGCTGCTCCGCGCCGTCCCGCCGGGCCCACACCTGTCAGGCGGCGCCGCGGGCCGCGCTCGCCGTCGCCATGGCTACCCCGCGCCCCGGGCCTCACAGTGCCCAGCCCCGCGCGCCCGCAGCGGGCATCTTCCGCGCGGGGGAGCTCGCAGCAGCGGCGGCGCCAGCTTCGGCCCGGCCGCAGGTTTTATTTTTTTCCTCTAGCTTCCCTCAGCGCCTGCTGTTCCGGGAAACGCGCGCCCCCCTCCGCCCACCGCGCGCGCCCCCGCCCCCGCCGCCCGCGGGCACCGCTCTTAAAGGGGCGATGGAGACGGGTGGGCCCCGCCCGCCGGGGCTGCAGGCTGGGCGCGCACGCGCGTTGCCAACCGCAGGGGAGGAGAGGGCGCGCAACTGCACAAGCGCGCAGGCACGAGTGGGGACCGCCACCTAAGATCACACAGGCGCACACACCTAATCACAGCTACACGCGTAAACACGAGTGGGAAAAACTACCCAGGGACATACAGCCACACACAAATGATTGCAGCTACACCCGCCCTCACACACACGCTACAAATAGCACCAGCCACCCAGATTGCTGTACACTCAGGAACACACACACGGTGCCACTTGGTCGCAGCTACACTCTCCTCACAAAAGTCCGCACAGCCATAGAAGCCAATGAGCCACTGTCGCAATCACCGTGGGTGCACTCTCCCACAAACCTACTACCTACACCCAACACAGGTGGGGACCACACGTATAGCTCGCCAGGGACACAGCCCCCACGCAAAGGGTCGGGAATGTGCAGGATCATCACACCTAAGCACATAGGTTCAAGTCCTGGCAGCCTCACTCTGGTACATTCAGCCCCCTGCACACAGGGGCACACAAGCCCACACAGGGGCCATCACGGCAGACAACTGCTAACACAGGCACAGCCACACCTGGTGACAACAGTGGGTGCTTGGGGGGCCGTTGACCACGGGCGGCCAGGCCACTGGGCTGGCTCCGCCTCCCAGTCTCAGTGTTGCTAGCTGTAGAGTGGGCGCATCCCAACTTTAATTGCCCCCCTACAGAGCTCAGGGGTGCCAATGGGCGCCAGCCCCCAGTAGGTGCGTAGAGGAGGTGGGGCACATTGGGGAGGGACTTCTCTTAGGAAAGGGGTGCCTGAGAGGGTGAGGGGCCCTGTGCCAGGATACCTGTAGCCGCGCGCGGGGTTGGAGGGGGCAGCCCAGTTGTCCCTAGTGGGCGTGTTTCCGTCTGTGAACGTGGTCATGGAGGTTTCCTAAGCACGGTTGCCTGTGTGTGAGTGCGCGTGTACGCGTGGGGAAATGTTCCCGCATTGTGTGTCCTCCGCGGTCGTGGGGGTTGAGTCCCCCAGCATCAGGTCTCCCGGGCTGTGCGCATTTGGGTGCGCGCGTGGACCTCCGCGCGTGGGCAGGGCGCGGCTTCTGGGGACCTGTGCTGTGTGTCCCGGGTCGTGTGTGGGTCTCTGTCTCGGTGGGAGCGCCCCCACCCCACTGCCGGCGGACTCACCAGCAGGGGTCCCCTACAGCGGCCGCCCCCACCCCGGCCTCCCGTAGGGCAGCAGCGGAAAAGAAGGGCCGACGGCCCAACCCCGCCTACCTCCCCCCCCCGCCCCGGCGGGGCCCGGCCGGGGGCGGACGCCGGGCTGCCTTCCCACTTCCCGTCCAGCCGTCGCCCCTTCCCCCTCTTCCTCTACTTCGGGCTCTCAGCCGGGCGGGCTCGGAGGGGGCGCCGCGCTGCGCGCTGATGGGGGTTGGAGGGGCTACCCCATGCCCAGGGCCACCGGGGGGCGTGGGCGGCGGGGACTCCTTCCTCTTAGTAACGAACGCTCCCATCTCTCCCTTCTCCAATGCCTCTTCCCCTCAGGGCACAGAGGGTGTGGCGCGCCGGAGCCACAGCGCTTGGGTAGTTTAGCGAGGGTAACGAGCGGCCAGGGGCAATCTCTAAACCGGTCTCGTCGGTGGAGGGGCGGGGGGGTAATTCCCCGGCCGGCCTCGTCTGGCGCCCCCTTGGACTTGGGCCCGGGGGCAAATGCTCCCCTCCAACCCCCACTCGCTACGCCTTTGGGGACAGACGCCCCTTGAACCCTCCCCACAGGCTCCCGTTGATTTCCCAAAGCTTGTACCTCCCCCTCCCTCGCTTCCCTGCTGTGTGCCCTGAGCGTGTTCCTCGCAGTCTCTGAGTCGTGGAGTCATCATCCAGCCCACAAACATTTACCGAGCGCCTACTGTGTGCAGCTGAGGCACGTTGCTACCCTAGTGGAGCCGACTGATGGGGGAGGCCTCTCAGGGTTGTCATTTCAGAGCGTGCCACGTGCTGGGCGAGGGTCCCAGGTGGGGAGGCGGAGCACAGCGGGGCTGGCGGGCTCCGGAAGGAGGGCGGCGGCAGTGAAGGCGGCGGGCAAGTGGGGGAGGCGCTGCTGGCAGGCAGGAGCGAGAGGCGCCGTTACCATGGCAACGGGGCCGGGTCTCCAAACACTGCCGGCGCCAGCGGAAAAGCCGGCAAGAGCGAGCCCAGCCCTACGCGGCGGCGGCTGCGGCGGGAGGCGAGCCGCGCGCACACCCGGCCCTGGCGCTTGCTTTGCGCTATCAGAACCCAGCAAAAGAGTCCCCCCCACCACCACCCACTGCGCACATGGGGAGAAAAGGGACAATATTAAAAATAAGGGGGATCATTAGTCATCAGGGACATGCAAATCAAAACCACAATAAGATACCACTTCACGCCCACGAGGATGGCTAGAATCAAAACGGCAGATAACAAGTGCTAGTGCTGGCGCTAGCGAGGATTTGGAGAAATTGGAACCCTAACCCACTGCTGGTGGGAATGCAAAACAGTGCAGTCAGGCTGTGGAAGACAGCCTGGCAATTCCTCAAATGATTAAACATGGAGTCACAAGACCAGCAACTCCACTCCTTGGTGTATACCCAAGAGAACTGAAAGCATAAGTCCACACAGAAACTTGTATACGAATGTTCATTGCAGCACTATTTATAATAGCCAAAAGGTGGAAACTACCCAAGTGTCCATCAATGATGATAGACAAATACAATATGGTCCATCCATACAATGGAGTATTACTCAGCTATAAAAAGGAATGAAGCACTGATACAGGCTACTACCTGGATGAACCTCGAAAACATCCTGCTGAAGTAAGACACAGAAGGCCACATGTTGTATGATTCCATTTATATGAAATGTCCAGAACAGGCAAATCCATAGAGACAGGGGCTGGAGGAGGGTAGGAGAGAGGATAGAATTGATAGCAAAGGGTACAGGGTTTATTTTGGGGGAATGAAAATGTTCTAAAATTGACTGTAGTGATGGTTGCACATAACTGTGAATATCCTAAAAATCATTGAGTCATACATTTTAAATGGGCAAATTGTATGGTATGTGAATTATATTTCAATAAACAAAACTTTTTAAAATAAATAAACAGGGGGGTGGGTCTGGAAGATCTGGAAGCAGAATGTTTAAACAGAAGTCGAGAAAAGTGCAAAGGCCCTGAGGTAGTAACAGGCTCAGGGTGTTGGGGAAGAAGCTGGAGTAGCCAGAGCAAGGGGGAGCGAATGGGAGATGGTGATGCGGCAGAGGTCGGAAGGGCCAGACCTGGCCAGGGGGGCAGGGGTGAGTGAGTGTTGGGATTTGTTCAGGGGGCAATGGAGAGCCATGCGAGGGCTTGGAGGCAGGAAGAAGCAGAACCTGCAACATGATTTTAAGAAACTTCCATGGAGCAACCATGGGGAGCGGGGACAGTCGGGGCTGGCATGGAGGCAGGGAGGGAGACCCCGGTCCTGAGACCGGGGGGACGGGGTGGCGGGGGGCGGACGGGGGTCAGATATTCGGTCAAGGAGCCTAGGAGGCGCAGTAAGCGAGGAGGACGAGGGGTCAAGGCGGGATCCCAGACCTGCAACCTCCTTCCCCGCTTCCGGTCGCCCAAGGGTAGCCTCTTCCGAACTGCAGCCCTGGGCAGGAAGTCCGCCTCTTCGGGTGGGCTGTGGCTAGACACCTACCACAGACGTCCCCCAAACCCACAGCCGCGCGAGGTCGGGGCAGTGGCTGGGGGAGCCCGAGGGGGTAAGCAGGCTCCGCCCGTAGAGCAGGGGATCTGCCTGGAGAAGGGGCCGATCTCTCCCCTCATTCACTTCGCTTCGGTCCTTTCATTTCCCAAACCCACCCCCGGGCCTTTGCACGTGGCGGTCCTTAGGCCTGGAGCGCTCTTTCTCTGGTCCCTCACCTGGCCTACTTTTGTTCCCCAATAGTACCTCCACTTCTCTTCTCCCTCCTCCTGCCCTTCCTCCTCCTACTCCTCCTCTATCCCCTCCTCCTCCCCCCTCTCTTCCCTCTCCTCCTTTCCAGGCTGCCTCCCCTGGTTTACTCTTCCACACTAGTCTTTGTTGGATTTGTAGCTGTTATAATAAAATAATGCATTGAGTCATCAGTCAGCAGATCTGCACCCCCCAGATCTGCTCCCCCCACAACACTGAGGTGGGGCCCCCTTGAATATTCCTTGAGATAACTGGTTGCGGGTGTCCTTGGAAGGCAAGGAAGGTGGGTTTTCCTATTCGCATGAGGTGGCAGCAGCCCCCTCCTCCTCTTTCAAGTTTGGAGCATTGAGAGGGTTAGGGACTGGGCTGGCGGCCCCTGTGTCCCCTCCCCAGCCTGAGTGGAGGTGGGCCACAGCTGGGAGCATGTCTGTGCTTCCAGGCCTTTCCTTTCAGAAGCTGTCATTATGGGTAATTTTCTAAATGCAACACAAAAATTAAAACCCAAACAACACTGGGAGGGAGCAGCAGCTGGTGGAGGGGACAGGCTGGCACAGTGGGGATTCTGGCCTGGGCCTGGTGGGAGGAACAAACCCCTCCCTCTCCCCCCACCCACCACCCAGAGAGCTGGGGGCCAAGGGAGGCAAGGATGGGGGGTCCTCCAGGCAGCCTGGACTTCTTAAAGAACCATCAACCTCTTGGAGCTTCAGTTTCCCCATTTCCAAAACGAGGATTTTACCCTAGACCAGTCACCTGGAGGAGGAAGTCCCCAATGGAGGGTCCAGTGATCTGGGTTTGAATCTGGCTGTGCCATGTTGTCCCTCTGTGTGGCCTTGGGCAGGAGCAGGGGTGTTTACTCACGTTCTAAT